TTATTATAATATATNTNTAACTATATATATATATATATATATATATATATATAAATAAAAGGTAAATAAAATTTTACTAAAACTAAATAATAAAAAAAAATATATATATATATTAATATATATGCAATTTATTTATAGTTTTATAATAGATACTTAAAAATTAAAATAAAAAAAATTATTTATATTTTATAAATATTAAATTTACTTTTATTCTTTTTTAAAATAAAATTATCAAAAATTTATAAATAATATTTTTTTTACATAATATTTATTTATGAAAATAAATAAATTATTTTAACATTTTTAAATTAATTTTTAATAAAATAAATTATTTTAACATTTTTAAATTTTATTTATTTAATAGATATTCATTAAAAAATGTTTATTTTATATTAATAAATTTAAATAATTATATAATTAAAAATAAAATAATATTATATTATAATTTTATAATTTTTTAATTATTTTTAATATATTTTATACATTATCAAATTTTAAAAATTATTAATACAAATAATAATATAAATAATCAAAATATTTTTAGATAGCTATTTATTACATATAAATAAGAAATTGTTCAATAATAGCATTTAATAGGTTTTTTATTAATTAAATTATAATTAAAATAAACATAAATGTTTATATAATTAAAAATCTTTCAAAAAATTTAAATTATTAAAATAAAAATATTCGATTGTTAAGCAATTAAACTGTAAAATTTATTTATAAAAATAATAATACAAGCAAATAATATGATATTGAATAAAATTTAAAAAAAAGTAAATATAAAATATAAATAATAAAATATTTAGATTATATCATTATATTTACTCATAAATAATATAGACTATTACAATTAATATGAAGTAATAAATATAATATCTTTTATTCTAATTTATTCAAATTAGATATTTAATTTCATAAAGTTATATAAATTAAATTATGGTATAGAAAGAATGATTTTATTTAAATTATTTTAATATTTATTAATGTATATAAATAATAGAATAATTAATAATATAAAGTAAATATATATTTAAAAATTAATATAAAAAAATAGTTTAGTATAAATATATCAATTATTTCTTAAATATTCTAATATATTGTTAAAATAAAATAATTTTAGATAAAAAATAATTAATAAAACTTATATATAATTTTAACTATAAATAAAATTACAATATAAATTATATAGAAAATAAAGACTACTATTTATATATTTAAATATATAAATATATTTATATATATATTTAATTTATTTATTTATATAATATAATTAAGATATATATTATTATATTTTAAATATATTGTATATTAGATTAATAAGTTATTTTTTAATATTTATATTAATATTATTATATTAATATTATATATAATATTATTTTATTCATTATATATTTTTAATAAATAAATTTTTTAAAAATATCTATTTAAATTTATTTATAATTTACATAAAATTCAATATTATAAAATAAATATATATATTTATATTAAATATATATTATTTTACTATATTATAATAAAAAAGACCAGATTATAAAAAAAAAATACAGGAACATTAATTTAAGAAATCGAAAAATATTAAAAATATAATAAGCTTTTAATATAATTATGATATATTTTATATATTTAAATTTGTTATTAAATAAAAAAAAATTATGGACTATTTTTAAATAAAAATGATAAATTATATTAAATTCATTTAGAAAAATTAAGAAATTCAAATTTATATAATAATATTTAAAGAAATATCATAAGATAAATAAAAAATAAAAATAAAGTATTATATTTTAATTATAAAAAATAATAATAAAATCAATTAATTTTTATATGTAATTTATTAATAAATATAAAAAATAATTAAATATATTTTAAACAAAAAAACAACATATATTAATTATAGTAAACAATATATATATATATATATATATATATATTTAATTTATAATTTAATATAATTTTATATATTCATTAATTTGTATTTTATTATTTCATTAATTCTCTTCCAATTAACCATCTTCTTATTTCATTAGTTCCTGCTCCAATTTCATATAATTTAGCATCTCTCATCATTCTATTAACAGGATAATCATTAGTATATCCGTTTCCACCTAAAGCTTATATGGATTCTAATCCAACTTCAGTAGCACACATTGAAGTATATAAAATAACTGCTGCACAATCCTATTTAAAATAAGTAATAGATAATTATTTTTATTAATTTATGTAATTATTATATAAATATATATATATATATATATATATTTATTTATATATTTTTATATATATATTTTACAGTATTCGAGTAATTTCCTCCATCACATGCTTTTGCACACGAATATAACATAGCTCGTGAAGATTATAATTTTACATACATATCAGCTATTTTTCCTTACATTAATTAGAAATTTCCTATAGGTGCATCAAATTATTCTCTTTATTTTAAGTAAGGAAGTACATAATCCATACATGATTACATTATTCTATAAATATTATTAATATTTATAAATATATTTATATATAATATACCCAACTGGTCCAGCTGCTAAAACTAGTCTTTCATAATCAAGTCCATCCATAAGTACATAGACGCCTTTATTTAATTTTCCTAAAATATTTTCTTCAGGAACTTCACAGTCTTCGAATATTAATTCACAAGTATTACTACCTCTCATACCTAATTTATCTAATTTCTTTTAATAAAATAATAAATTTTTTTATAAAGATATATATATACTTATCCTTAAGAAAAGCCTTTCATTCCTTTTTCTATTATAAATGCTGTAATACCTTTTTGTTTTAATTCAGGCTCTGTTTTTGCATATACTACAAATACATGAGCATCTGGCCCATTTGTAATCCACATTTTATTTCCATTTAAAACATATTTATTTCCTTTTTTTACAGCCTTTAATTTCATTGAAACTACATCTGAACCTGCACCAACTTCACTCATTGCTAATGCTCCTATAGTTTCCCCACTACATAACTATTAATTTTAATTAGTTTTATTTTATATATATAAATATATATAAATATATATATATATATATATATATATTTATTTATTACATTAGGTAAATATTTTTCTTTTTATTCTTCTGTACAATGTCTTTCTAATTATCCAATACATAAAGCTGTATGAGCTCCATAACTTAAACCAATAGAACCACTTGCACGTGATAGTTCTTCCATTATCATACAATGGGCTGAATAGTTTAATTCACTTCCACCATATTTTGTAGGGACCGTTACTCCTAATAAACCCATATCTCCTAATTCTCTCCATAAATGATTTGGAAAGGAATTTTTCTTGTCAGTTTCTTCGGCTAATGGGGCTACTTTTTCATCAGCGAATTTTTTGACGCTTTCTCTTAACTTTTTTAGTGTTTTTTTTTTTATATAAGGTTTTTACTTCAGATAGATCTGTTGAGAAGTTAGATATGAAATTATAGTCTAATGTACCAAATTAAGATCGAGTTTATTTAAATAAAAAGAGTTTTTGAAAGGCTTTTTAGAAGGATTTTTAGATCATTTTTATTAAAATAGTTTTTATATTCTATTGATAAATAATATTGATTATAATAGGATATATATTATTTAATAAATATTTTTTTTTATTTATTTTAAAAATTAATTAAATATATATTTTTTATTAATTAATTGATATTAGTGTGTAATTTATTTTTGATTTTATTAGAGTTCAATAAAAAAAGAAGAAAAAAAACTAACATTTAATTAATAATTATAAAAAAAAAATGCATTGAATTATATATATAATATAAAATTTTATTTATTAATAATATATTTTTATATATAAACATATAACAATAATTATTCTATTTTTATAATATTAAAATATTTATTAAATAAAAAATTAAAAAGCAAAAATTTTTTATAATAATAAATTTGTATTATTGATTAATAAATTATATTTATATTTTTCTTTCTTTTTTTAAATATATCATGTTATTTAATAATTTTAATTATAAAAAAAAAACTTAATAGTTTAATCAATTATTTTAATATTAACATTGAAAAAATGTTAAATCTATCAGAAAAGCAGATACAAATTCCCATTTAAATAGTTATAAATAATAAACTAGAACGTCTTTTTCCCACAGACCCTCATTATAATATAACAATAATATGCAATAATAAAGAATATAAATTAAATAAATCCTATTTACGTTTAGAAAGTTAATATTTTGACGAACTATTTTCGAAAAATGAAGATGAAAAATAAGTAAAAATGATTCAAATATAGGACAGTGAGGTATTTGAGAAAATATTAAAATGTTTATATGGAGGAAAATCAATAATTTCCCAAAACGAGTTGTATATAGGATATTGTATGTGTTATGAATTAAAAATAGATGCTTTAATAAAAATTTTAAATGAAGGAATTTTATTGAATTTTAAGTTTTTAAATATTTTCACAGTAATTTATTTAGGTGTTAAATTTAAGCAAAAACATCTTTTAGAAAAATGCAAGGAAGAGCTTATTTTGAATAAATTTTCAGTTATTAAAAACGCGAATTCTTTTTAAATTTAAAATAAAAATTTCCCTTCGGGATTAATTTAATTAGATTATGAAATGCTTAAATTTATTTTTGGAATAAATTAAGACTTTTTATATTTAAAAGCAATAGAAGTTTTCGATATTATCAAAAAATATTGCATAGGCTCATTTAAAAATCCAGAAAAATATATATTAGAATATACATTAGAACTTATTCCTAAAGAAAGTTTGTAGTCAAAAGAATATAATTTTATTTATCATTAATAATTATTATAATAAGAGTAAAGTTTATAAATCAATTCTTTTAATAATAACAATAAATTATAACTAGAAAAATCTTATGCAAGGTTAAATAAAAAAAAAATATATTTAATATATATATATATATATATATATATATATATTTATATATTTATATATTTATATAAATAAATTTTTTTTTATAAAAAAAAAGATTATAAGAAATATAAGATATATACAATAATAATAATTAAGGATATATAAATGCAATATTATATAGTGAGAATATACTTTATTAGAAAGAATTAAATGAAATGAAAGAAAACAATAATAAATTAGTTTCTTCAATGAATTAAATGAAATAAGAAGTAGACGAGAAAATATAACAATATAAAGAAAAAGAAGAAAAATTTATATAGACTATTAATTAAATAGAAACTAAAATTTAAAAATAAGAAGATATAATATAAAAATTAGAATTAAAAAGTGAAGAACTTTAGAGAATTTTAAAAATAAAACAGGAAGAAATCGACTGTAAAAACGAAATTCTTAAACATTATTAAGATTTGACAAATAAATAATTAATAATATAAGAAACTTAGCCATTAAGGGAAAAGAAAGTTTCATAAAACTTTTACGAAAATAAAAATTAATCATAATAATAATAATATATGTAAGAATTCGACTCTTAAACATATAATAGTTTAATGGAAACATAAAAAAGCTTTGTTTATGGTAATGGTATTTAATAAATGTAAGTCAGTTCATGTATATAAGTTCATGATATATGTAATTTATAAAAAAAAGAAGAAGAAAAAAAAGACACGGAAACAATTTTATCATAAGAAGATGAAAATTCAATAATCGAATTTATAAAATTCGAAAACAGTAAAATTTTAGAAGATTTGTAAGAAAAATATTATAAAGATTTCTTCGTAAAGGCTTTTTAATTAAATTTATTCAAAAAAGCACACTTAAATCTTCTATATAGAAGCTCTTAACATGGATTTTTAAGGGAAAACTTCCTTTAGAAATGTCAAGGAGTTTCTAATACACTAGTGCTAATTAAAAGTTGGGATTATGACAAGATTTTTGGAGCATATATTAGTGTTCCATGGAGTAAAGATTAGGGATATAGTTCAGATGATGATGCTTTCTTATTTTCACTTACTGAAGGAGTTATCGTAAGGGTTAAAAATCCAGATTATGCAGTCTATTAAGGAGAAGATTATATTTTTAGTTTTGGAAATGATATCTGCATTAAGGAAAATGGAGATTATTAAGAGTGTAATAATAGCGAATTTCCGTCGGATTATTAGTTTGATTAAAAAGTTAATTTTAAGGGAGATTTAAGAAAGTTTTTTGGGGGAAATGAGTTTTTTTAGGTTGATGAATTGGAAGTGTTTAAAATTGAGTTTATGTAAGATATGGATATGTGAATATATATTATGTTTTATTTATTTCTTTTTTTTATTTCTTATAGTTTTTGGTTTTTTTTGGTTTTTTTTTTTTTTTTTTTTTTCATTGAATTAGAATTATTTGTATTTGATTTTTTTTATATATTTTTAAATATTAATTAAATATTTTTTAAATGTATATTAATTTAATTATTTTATTATTTAGTTAAATTAGTAATGATTTTTAAATATAGAGATATATTTTTTTTTTTAAATAAAATCAAAAATTAAAATACTAACAGTAAAATAAATAATAATATAATTTTTTTTTTTTTTCTATAAAATAAAACAAGTTCTTGAACAAACAAAAATTACATGAAAAGCCAATATTTTCAATAAAAAAGTAAAATATATATAACAAAAAATAAATAAATATAAAAAAGTCCTTTCTCCTTAATTATCCACAAGTATAAAAAAAAGTATGACTCAAACAATAAGTTAAAAGAATATATTTTAGTATTAAATTAAAAAGTCGGAAATCGATAAAAATTCGCAAATTCAATTAAAAATCTCAAATTTGTAAAAAAAATAAGAATTTTTAAAAAAAACTGCAGATCAATCAAAAATACAAAAACAAAATTGCTTGCAAACTTAAAAAAAAAAAATGTATCAATAAGAAGACATTCAATAATAAAACTCGTATTAAAAAGATTCTAGATAATTCAAAAAAACTCAGCAATTAATAAAATGTTTGACAGAATAAAATATATCACATAATTAAGAATCTATACAAGATCTAGACGAATCTGTACTTGAAATGATAAAAAATTGTTCTCTCTTAGAATAATCTTAAAAACCTTTGTAAATTCCGGAAATAGATTAGACTAAAATAGCAGTTAAAAGTTATGGAACTGTATGCAGTTATGCGGCTAAAACAAATTAGGGATTGATAAGAAATTATAATGAAGATCGGGTAGCTATAATACTTAATATTAAAAAACCAAATAATAAACCAGTAGATTTATAATGGCCAAAATGCTCCTTTTTTGCAGTATATGATGGGCATGGAGGAGAAGCTTGTGCAGATTATTTAAAAGATAATTTACATCAGTTTGTTATAAAAGATTAAAATTTCCCATATGATCCGAAAATGGCAATTATATAGGGCTTTGAATAAGCTGAAATACAATTTCTTAAAAACGTAGAAAATAATATTTAAAAATATGGAATTTTTGAAAAATCAGGAAGTTGTGCAGTTGTAGCACTTATTGTCGGTATTATTTAATTAAATATTAGTATATATAAAAAAAAAATTATATATATTTATATATTGTTTGTATATAATATATATATAAATATATATATATATATATATATATTATATATATATATATATATTTTAATTTATCCAAATTTAAATAAATATATTTAAATTATATTTTTTTAATATTTAATAAATCTATATATTTATTTTAAAGGTGAATAATGTTTTATTGCTAATGTTGGAGATAGTAGGGCTATTTTAAGTACTGATTAAGGAAAATTTATTAGTGCTTTAACTTAAGATCATAAACCTATGAATAAATTAGAAAATATTAGAATACATTTGCATGGTGGTAAAGTTTATTAGTAAATAAAATTATATTTTTTATCAAATATTAAAATAATATATTATTATTATTTATTTTATTATTTAAAATTAGAACTTAATTATAAACAATTATTTAAGAAAATATTAATAATTCTGAAAATGATGTTTAAACTATTTTAGGACCATATAGAGTTTTACCAGGAAGGCTTTCAGTTACAAGAACATTTGGAGATATAGAAGCTAAGATATAAAAATATGGTGGCAATTAAAATGTTATTATTTCAACCCCAGAAATAAAAGAATTTAAAATTTAATAAAACCACGATTTTGTAGTTTTAGCATGTATATTATAAAAAATATATCTTATTATATTATGTTTAAAGGTGATGGTATTTTTGATAAAAGCTCAAGTAAAGAAATAGGATAAATTGTGTGGGAAACATTTTAAAATTATAAAATAAATAAGCAATTACATGATTTTTGTGGTAAATGTGTCGAAAATATAATGAAATTATCTCTTACAAGAAGATCTCTTGATAATGTGACAGTAGTTATAATTGGGTTTAAAAATTTAGAAAATCTTGTGTTAGGATTAAATAATTAAAAAAAATAATTAAATAATTCTATTAAATTTAATAATTATGGAATTTATAAAACATTAGGGAATGAATTATAAACAAGTAAAAAACTCGAAAATTAAAATAAATATTAGGAAAATTCTAAAGATTAAATAAGTAGTTTTAAATAAAGAATAAAAAAAATATTTAATTAATAAATGCTATAAATAAATTCTTAAAAAAATTTTGTAAATATAAATTAGAGTTAATAAATAAATAGTTAAAATAAAAATGAATATAAAAATATAAAAAAAAATGAAAATCATAATAGTAATATTAATAATAATAATAATAATAATAATAATAATAATTATAATAATAATAATAATAATAATAATAATAATATTTAAAAAAATTATATAAATAAGTTTTGTAGTTAAATAATTGAATATAAATGATTTTTTTAAATTGAAACCAAATAAAAAACAATTTCGAATATTATTATATTGATTTATTATTAATAATATTAAAAACATATAAATTTTTATTTATCAAATTTAAAATATATTTTCTGTACAATAATACAATTGTTTATATATATTTTTTTTATTTATTTGATAATAATAATATTTATAAAATATATATATATATATATATATTAAAATATTTTAAAATCAATTTAAATAATATTTAATTTTTTTTTTATTTTAAATTTTTATTTATTTATAATGTTTTTTAAAATCAATTTAAAACATGATAAATATTATTTAGATTTTAATTAATAATTATAAAAAATATAAAAACTTATAATACTTATTAAATTTATATATTTTATTATTTAATTAATTTATATTTAATATTTTAAATAAATAATAAAAAAATATATAAAATTAAAAAACATATTTTAAAATAAATAAAAAAAATTATAATATATATATATATATATATATATATATATATATATTTATATATTATATAAACTTTCTATATATATTTTTATATTATTATTTTTTTTATTTTTTTTTTTTTAAATTTATGAATCCTTAACATAAACCAATTTTTTAATATGATCAAAAGAAATAGCCCGCATAAATAATAGAATGTTAAATTGGCGGAAACAATGCAAATATAAATGTTTAATTATTAAAAAAAACAGAATTAGAATTATTAGGTTTATATAAATTCTATATAATATTTATAATAATTTATATTTATAGGATTAGATAATAAAAATTATAATTCTGCTCCTTTTACTTAATATACTAGTTAAATGATTTTTTAAAAACCATTATCTAAGTATTTATTTAAAATTAAATAAAAAAAATAAAGCAAAAAATAAAATAAAGATCTTTATATATTGAAAATCCTCAAGATAATGATTTATTAATTTAATTTATTTAAGAAAATGTTTAGTCTTAATTAATTGAATAAAATAAAGAAATTGAAATTGAGTTTGATAATATTTAATAAAAGATAAATTAAGATATATAAATTTTATAAAGTATGGATTAACATTTATAATAAAGTAATAATATAGAAGACAATTTTGATATTTAGAAACTTTAATAACATTTAAAATAAAATATTAATGAATAATAATAAAATTTTGTTTAAATTTAATAGAATATTGATTTTTTAAATTAAAATTTCAAAATGGAAAAAACAAAAAAATTAAAGAATTAAATATAGGAAATAAAATTGAGTCATAAATATAATCGTTTATATAATACTTTGACTAATAATTAAATGAAATTAACTAATAAATGGAGTTTTTGTCATAGAAGAATTAATAAAATGAAGACCTTGCAATAGATAATATTAGAATAAAATAATTATAGTCAGATTATATTTATTTGGATAATTTAATAAAGGATTTATAAGAATAAATAGAAAGTACTTACCTTGAAAAAGAATTATAGACAAAAGATTATATTGATAATTTTTTAAAAATTATACAATAAGAAATTCAATAATTTATGCTTTTTTTTTTAATTAATATAAGAATGAAGTATATTTTTTAATTTTTTAATAAAAAAATAAATATATTTATATAAAATAAGACTGAAAATATTATAAATGAAATCGATTATAATTCTAAATAATCATTATAAAAAAGTATTGAAAGTTTTAGATAAAGTCAAGAATAATAATTTTTAAGATAATAATAATATTTAAATATTTAAGAAAATATTTAAAGTATTTAAAAAGGAGAAATTTTATAAAAAACTATGAAAATGGAAAATTAAATAAAAGACATAAAATGTAATTTAGAAGACTTTTAAAAAAACATAATTATATAATTTTAATAATTATAATAAATATAATAAAAATCATAATAAATAATAGTTTATGAATAAACTAAGGTAATTAAATATAAATATAAATATTATATAAATAAATATATATATATATATATATATTTTTATACATTTATATTTCTATTTATATTTATATTTAGAATATATATACTAATTCTGATATAGTAGAAATTTCAACTTTTGGTGAACCTTCTGAAGAAGCATAAAGTAAATTAGTTAAATAATAATTTTCTAAATAAAGTACTTTTAAAAGTAAAGACGATAGTGAAATTTATAATACTTTGCCTGAATTTGGGAAAAAAATAACGTTTGTTGACGATACTAATATATAAAAAAATCAAGGCGAAAATTAATTAATATATAGTTTTTAAGAACACGAACATGAATCTGAAGTAAATGAAATTTTGAATAAATATAATATTAATGTAGATGAGATTTAAAAAGATTAAAATAATATACTTGCTGAAATCTATGAGGTGGGTACTTAAGAATTGATAAATGCCAAATAGACATGTTCAAATGGATATAATAATTAAAATTCGGATGTGAATGAAGCATAAATAGTTTAGTAATTGGTAGGAGAAAAATAGGTAGAAGAAGAAGAAGAAATAGTTTATTAAATTGATGAAAACGGATATTTAATGGATGATAATGGAAATTATATACTCGATGCAGATGGATAGTTAATTAAATTAGATGAAGAATAAATTGAATATGCTAAATAAAATGCCATGATTGATATTACTATGTGAGAAATTTTATTTTATTTTTTTATATTTGCATATTTTTTTTTGTTAATTATTAATTATTTTATTTTGATATAAAAATAAAATTTTATTTAATTTATATAATATTTAGATTAATAATAATAAATAAATTTATTTGATTTTTTAATAAAAAGAAGGGAAAAAAAACATGTTTATATAAATTATAATATATATATATATATATTTAAAAAAAAAAATCTCTTTAAATAAAAAATAAGAAAAAAAAAAAAAAAAAAAAAAAGTAAAATAGAAAAAAAAAAAAAAAATGTTGAGAAAATATATTTGTAATTTAAGAAAAGTAAACACTTAAATGTAATTTATAAAAAAAGAAAAAAAAAAAAAAATATTTTTTTTTTTTGTTTAATTTAAAATTAAATCGATTAAAATTAGATCAAGGTAAGAAGATATTAGTAGATTTATATGCTTAAGAGCTTAACTTAATAAAAACTACGAACAATCATACATGGAACTTGCAAAATAATACAATATAAGTTAACAAAAAAATATATTTAATTATAAATGTTTATATATATATGTATTTATAGGTCCTTAAGAATTAACTTTGATTTCTAAAATTGGATCATTGGATTTAACTACAGCAAAATATTTTACTAATGAAAATGTTTATCTTCGTGAAAAACAAAATGTAGAAAGATAATATAGAATTTTTTAAAAACCAGAATGGGGAAATCTTAAAAGTAAAAAGAATATTTAAAAACAAAAGCAAATATTTTATATACATAAAAAAGATTATTTATTTTATAAAATATATATTTATTTAATTAAAAAAAAGAAAAAGCAAATGAAATATAATAAAAACATCCTCAAATATTAAAAAATTTAGCCAAAGTCGAAGGTTTAAAAGAGGCTTATTAAGACTTAAACCATTTTTATGATATAATTTTTGAATTATCTTATTAAGCATTATAGAATCTTAAAAATTTAAAATCTTCTAACTTACTAAGTTAAATATAGGAAGATCAATATACTAAAATAAATTAAGAAATCGAAAAATACTCTTTAGAATTATAATAAAAATACTAATTAGAAAATTTATAAGTTTCTCAAATAATTTAAAGTTTATAATCTTTATTCCAAAAATATAAAGAAGATCCCGCCTTGTTTATGTTTAGAATATAAACTCAATTAATAAACAGAGGTTTAATTGAAGATTTATCGAAATAAGTAGAATAAACATAAACACCTGAAGTCCAAATTTAAAATTTAGATGCTTTAGATAATTAATTTATCAAAGAAATCGAAAGCAGTTAAGGTTCTGAATAATAATTTTTATAAAATATTTCCTAAGAATAAACCGAAAACATCTTATAGAAAATCCTAGCAGCTAATTTGTAACTAAATATAAAAGACGAAGAATCATTATAAGAAGCTAATGAAATAGTTAATAATGGAAAATATAATAGAGTAGGCGCTTTATCATCCAATGAAGTAGAAACTTTCTAATTCAATCCTAAAGACAAATTAATTGATGAATTTAACGAATAAGCTAATAAAGAAATAGGAAACAATGATTGGGTCAATGGAAGAAAGTTAATTTTCGAAGCATAAATTTAAAATAGACCAGAATTAAGGTATTATATCTTAGCTATGCTTTGTGGAGTGTCATTTGCTTATTTCTTATATTCAGGAGATGCTAAGTATAAAACCTTAGTTTTAACTCCTTTAGTTGGAGTAAGTTCTTTAATACTTTTTAAGAGAAATTATGCTTCCAATTCAGTAGCTAAATTAAAGGAATTGTATTTACATAAAGACGGAAAATTAATTGATGCGGTTATTTAAAAAAATCAAGAAATCTAAACAAAAACTAATATTCCAATTAATTAAGTGAAATTGTATAGAGGAGATCATTTAGTTAAACTTGATATGGAAGAATTAAATAAAAATTAATCTTTGAAAAAAATAGTAGAAAAAAATACTAATGGAAGTTTCAAAATACATTCTTCTAAATTGAGGTATTTTATAAACAAAGATAAATATATATAAATATATATAAATATATATATATATAAATATATATATATATATATTATTTTTCTTATAGAGAATCTATTGGTAGAGATGGATAATGGCTATAATTAGGTGAAAGTGAAGTTATTGTACCTTTTAATAATTTCGGACATAGATTATTATTAAAGGAAGTTTTTAAAGGATAAGAAGTCGCATAATTACCTTGAATTTTTTTTTTTATTTTTTTATAAAAAATAAAATACAAAAATAATAGTTTTTTTATAATAAATAAGAAATTTAAATATTTTTTTATTAAAAAAAATGAAAAGAAAAACCAAACGATTTTTTATTTTGATTGAAATATTTATAAAAAAAACTTTTTTTTTAATTTCATATATTGAACTCCAAATTTAAAGGCAACTACTCAAAAATTTAGTCCAAATCTTTACTAGAAACTTCATTTAAATTTTTATGTTTCCACTATAAATTTTATGGTTATTTTTTCTAGATTGTATTCATAAAATAATTGGTAAAATCCTACTAGAAATACATTTTATAAGTAGTTCTAAAATTAATTTTCAAACATTCATCTTCGTTCATATTTTTAGCTTTTTAAATTAATAAAAAATTAACTTTTAAAGCTAAAGGACTACTTTTTAATATAAAGTCAAGTTTTTTTTTACAAAATTCTCTTTCGTTTTCGTTCCATTCTTTAGTACCATTTTATAGATTTAGTACTATTTCATCTACACTAGTGAATTTTTCTGAAAAATACTTTTAAATAAACTTTTCTTAAAGATATATTCCTTCGTTATTATTTCTCTACTTTATGGAATATTTATTTATTAAAAATTTCATTTCTTACATTTTATTTAGTGAAATTAAACAACTTTTAAATTCATTCATTTTGTCCTCAGGGATATAAAAATCAGCAAAACCAAAATATATCAACTCAAATCCTTTTAAACTTTGACCAGTCAAAACCAAATAATTTACTATATATTATTTATCTTTATCAGCAAAATATTTAACCATAGGAATAGATAATCCGATTCTACTTTCAGGAAAAATCAACATTGTATTATCTGTACATATTCTTAAATTTGATCTAGAGGCTAAAATATAACCCATACCTATACATTTACCTTCCATAATTGTTATTATATTTTTATTTTTTAATAAAATTGCATTTTATATTTGTTTTTCAAGTATATATATTGACTTAGTAATTTAGTGTATCTTTTAGATGGACTCTTGCTTATTTTCAATATTTAAATATTAGAAGATTTATTTTATATCAAAACCAGAGGTAAGAGAAATATTGCTTATAGATTAAATTACTAATACATCGAAGTCTAAAACAGAAAATATTTAATTAAATATTTATAACATTGAATAGTCTATTGCATTTAAAGATTATTAATTATTCATTATTAATTATAGAATTTTATTTTTGTCCTATAATATTATTTTATTAGATTCTTTTTATAATTTATGATTATCCATTTTTTAATTTTATTTTTATTAATTAAATAAATATTTTTAAAAAAAAGATATATATATATATATAGATATATAAAGATAATGTAAAAATAGATAAATATATTTTATAATATATTTAATATGTAATTATATATTAATATAATATTTATATAAAAAAAATATAATATATTTCGTACTTTAATATTATTTTTATTTAATATATATTTTTTAAAAATTGTTATAAAAAATAAAAGTTTAAATAAAAATTTATATAAATTAATATACAATAAAAAAAATTCAATAAATATTAAAAAAAAAAATAGTAAAAAAAATAGATATATATATATTTTTTATTTTATTTTTATTTCATATTTTTAATTTTATAAATTATATATTAATTATTAGTTTTTTATAATTTTATATATAAAATTATTTAAACTTATTTATATATAATTATTTTTTTTTAAATATATATATATATTTTTTAAAATTAATAAATTTTATTTATTATTAATAACTTTTTTTAAATAAAAAGAAAATAATAAATCATAAATAATATTTATATTTTATTAAATAATTAAATTTTTTCTCTCTTTTTCAAATTAAAAAATAATATATATAAAAAAAGGAAAAAAAAATTAAATAAAAAAAAATTAAAAGGTAATTTAACAAATAATTAAAACATTAAAAATATAAAAAATGAATCCCACTAAAAAAACCCCAGCCCAAAATCCTACTACAACCGCCAATAAGGTCTCTACTCCCTAATCAGCCCAATAACCGTCCCAAAACAAGACATTATTATAACAATTTCAGAAAGTCCCTGACCCTAAAAGAATGCCTAAAGAAATAAGAGATTAATTTTTAAAAAGGCTTTAATTCTGTTCTAATTAATACGACCTTAATGATGATAATAGGCATTAAAAAGAAAAAAAAGAACGTCTTGGATATTTATAGGAATTATGTGAACTCCTAAATGAATCTTAATCAATACCTGCTTTATTCATTCCACACTTAGATTTAGTTATTGAAATGATAGAAAAAAATATTTTCAGACCTCTTCCTGTATTAAAGAATAACGGAACTATATCAGGTAAAAAATATAAAAAAACTATAAATATATAATAATAATTTATTTTATATAAATAAAAATATATCTAGAACCAGGAGCAGAAGATGATGAAGTGTTTGTAAATCCAGAATGGGTACACATAGAGCCTATATTAGATTTTTTTTTGCAATTAATAGTGAATGAATAAATCGATGTCAAAATGTTGAAAGGATTTGTAACTCATTCTTTCGTTTAAGATTATTTAGAATTATTCCATAGTGAAGAGCCTCGTGAAAGGGAATATTTAAAGAATATTTTACACAAATTATATGCCAAATTGGTGCCTAGACGTAAGCTAATTAGAAGAGCTATAAATGATAGTTTTTATACTTTGATTCATGAAAATTACAAATTTGCGGGTGCTGCTGAACTCTTAGATATTCTTGCAGCTATTATTAGTGGGTTTGCAGTTCCTTTAAGAGAAGAGCATGTGATTTTCTTCAAAAATGTCATTGTCCCTCTCCATAAAGTACAAACCTGTCTCCTTTACCACGAACAATTAATGAGATGTTCAATGCTTTTCCTTTCCAAAGACCCCTCTTTGGCCTTCCCACTTCTTGAAGGAATTCTCAGATACTGGCCATTTGCAAACTCTACAAAAGAAACAGTATTTTTATAAGAATTACTAGAAGTAATCGAAGTATGTGACTGTAAAAAACTCGAACCTTTAATCCCTAAATTATTCAAAAGAATAGTCAGATGTATCGCCGGTTCTCATTTATAAGTAGCTGATAGGGCCATGTGCTTTTTCGAAAATGAATTTTTCCTTAATGTAGTGAGAACTTATAAAAGCTACACTTTTAATATGTTAGTACCTGTTATTGTACATTTAGCAGATAATCACTGGCATAGAATTTTAAAGGACTCTTTTGTCGCTTTGAAAACTATTTTAAGGGAAATAGATTACTAATTTTATGAAAAAGCGTTAAATACAAAAAATAGTCCTAGTTTATTGCTATTGAGTGATAATTCGAAGGAAAGGTAGAAAAATGAAGAAAAATGGAAAAAGTTTATGTAGTAAGCTAAGTAGAAAAATTAGAACTTTGTAGAACCTGTTATTCCATATATGGATACTCATATTGTATGTGAAAATAATGGATTGAATAATAAACATGTTTTGAGCTTGTGATTGTTGTTTGTTTTGTTTTGTTTTGTTTTAGTTTATGGTTATAGTTTATTATTTGTTTTTTTTTTAAATATTAATATAAGTAAATTGATATTTAATATATTTTTTTTTTTTAAATCCTATTTAAATATAAAATATAAGCAATTTTTTTTTAATTGAAATGCCGAAAAGATTTTTATTTTTTTGTTAAATATAATTTTTTAATTTTAGATAAAAAATTTATATTTTAGAAAACTTAAAAATTTAATTTTCTTATTTATTTATATCTATTTATTAGTCGGAATTTTTTTTTTATAAATACTCTATATTTAAAATAAATATACCTTAATTTAATATAAAAATAATAGTTTTAATTTATTTTTCGTTAAAAATTAAAATGTATTATTCTGTTTATTTAAATAAAAGTAATAAAAGTATTTGAATTTCTATTATATATATATAAAAAAAAATATTTTTACATTAATTAATAATATGAAATACTTTTTCAAATTATTGAGTTTTTATTTTTTCTTTAATTTTTTTTAAAAAATCAAAAAAAAAAGGCGATAAAATATATGTAATACCTTTATTTTACTTTAATTGAGTCTTAAAAATAAAAATAAAATATCAAATAAAAAAGTATTATATTTTTAATTAATAAAAAAAAAATTAAGAAATTTATTTGATATTTTAATTAGAATATAAAAAAATAAATATATATTAATTATAAATTATAATATGTATTTTTAGATTTTCATATTTTAGTTATTATTTATTTAAATATTATGTATTTTGTAAATTATATTTTAAAAATTTTATTTCTGGATATTCATAACTATCAATAAAATCCTTATCTATAACTTAAATAGATTAAATGTTTCTTGTGTATGTAAATATCAAGCATTATAGGTTACTAATAAATATAAAAATTAATTTTACACCCTTTCGACAAAGATTACCAATGAAATCAAAAAATAATTTAAATAATTTTTATAATTATCTTTTTTAAAAACAGTATATTAAGCTAATAAAATTTTTACTTTTTTTAGCGCATTTATATTAAGGAAATGCTATTATATAAATTATTTGAATTATTAATTTACTTAAAAGATTTTTCAATAATAAGATGTTTTCTTACTAGAATATTTATTTATAGTTTAAAGTTATAATTTTGTTATTTTTATATGAAAAACAGCAAATAGTAAATTTTATTAAAATATAGTTTATAATAACTTTAAAACTTAAAATTTTCATCAAAATTTTTTTATTTAATAAATATTTAATATTTAATATGAATATTATCCTATCATCTTTTTCTAATAACTAAATTCTAAAATTAAATGGTTATAATATTATTATTATTATTATTTTTTAATAATTTAAATATAATTTTTTAATGAAAATATTATATTAAATAAAATGAAATTTTAAATAAATTTTTTAAAGATAAATATAATTTATATAAAAAGAATAAAATATAATTAAAAAAATTAAAAAAAGGGATTTAAATTAAAAATAGCATATTTTACTTTATGATAAAAAAATAAAAAATAAATATAACAAAAAATTAAAAACATTATAAGAAATAAAAAAAAAAATATGCAAAAAATTATGATGCTAAATTTATGATTTTTTTTAAATATGCAATTTAAAAAAATATTATTTTATTAAATATATGAATAAATATATATATATATATATATATATATTATTTTTTAATATAATGTTTTATATTTTTTTAAAAATAAAAAATTATATTATTTATTAAATAAATAATTATATTATTTATTAATTAAATTATTATATTATTTATTATTTAAATAAATAAAAAAATTCAATTTTATTTTATTTTTAAAATTGTTACTTCAACTTATTTAATTTTATATTTTATCAATTAAATAAATAGATTCCATTTATGCGGATTCTTAAATAATATTAGTTACTTTATGGCATATTTCTTAAGCATTATTATAAATTTTATTTTCTGCTTATATAAAAAATTTAAATCTTTTATATTATAAATCTTAGAATAATTAAATGATTAAATCCTACTTATTATTTTATAAACAATCATAAACCCATTATGAGTTTTTTTCTATTTAAAAAAATAATAAATATTATAACTTTAAATAAAATTACCTAAAATAAAAGTAGCTGCAGGCTCAAAAATTAAAACAGGTAATGTACTTGTAGAGTCTTAAATATATGCATTAAGCTTTAGTTTTATGATTGGTTTAACAAAATCAAGACATCCTTCACAAAAATACTAATTATTAGCTTTAGAATTAAACTTTAAAACTCTAAAACAGCTTTTATTGCTACAAAGGAAATAATAATAATTTTAATTTGTTTAAATTGATATTATGTAAGCATATGAGTAATATTTTTTTTGAAAATTAACCTCAGATTATTCCGTTTCTTGTTAGATTTCTATTAATTTTTTTATTTCGAATTCATTTTGTTGTTCTAATATTTTATTCTATTTAATAATTTATTGATTAGCTTTTAGATTTTCGCAAAGAACTTGTCCTTAAAGAATTATTTTTGATTTGAAATTATTAATTATTTAATTATTATTATTATATATTCTATATTTGAAATCTTAAAATAAAATCACATTATTTACTTTTAATATTTCAGTGTTTTTCTAATATAAGCCATCAAATAAAACTACTTATATGTAATTTTTTTAATCTTGATCACATATTTATAAATATGTATTATTTCCGTTTTCATTATTAATATTCTATTAAATAATATATATATATATATATAATAATATTAATATAATAAATATGTATATTTTTTTTACTTTTATTATTCCTTAGACAGTAACAAATTTATAATTGTTTTCAAGAATGTCTTAAATTGTTTAAATTTTTTCCTAATTTTATTATTATTAATTATTTATTTTACATTCTTATACAAATATTTATTTTTTTCTCTTCATTTTTATTTCAAATTTATCCTTTGATTCTTTATTTCTTAATCCATATTAAACTTCACCACCTGAAAAATAATAAAAATTATAAATTTTTATTAAATTAAAATATTTTTCTGAATCATCCCAAAAAATAACATCAAAATAATCATTATTATTATCCTATGCAGAGCAATAGAAATATTTTTGCCCTTCTTTAGTAGTTTTTAAATCACTTTTATAATTTACTTTACCTTTTATCTTCATATTCTTTAAATTTAAACCTTTATACAATTAATTAACATAAATAATCTCCATATTCTAATCCTCGTAATCCTTATTAATATTTTTATACTCACATTAAATCTTTTATTCTACATTTCCTAATTAAGGTTCATCTTTAAGATTTTAAAATTATTCAGTTTTTTGTTATTAATTTACATAAGATTTATTTTTCTATTAATATTCTTATTCAGAAAATAATTAAAATTTCAAAGCATGCAAGGTTATTTTTTTTTATTATCTTTTTATTTAATAAAAAACATTAAATTTGAAATTAAATTATAATTAATATCTATACAAATATAATGATATATAAATATATAAAAAAAATATATATACTAATATTAAATATATCTTTATTTATATATTTATATATTTTTATATATGTATAATTATATATATATATTATGCTTATTATACTTTACAATTCTATATTCATTTATTAAAATTAAGTCTTTATTATATATATAATTTTTTGTATTTTAATTTAATTCAAAAAACACACTATATTATTTATCTTTATCTGATATATCCTAACAATTTGTACTTATTTTTTTTTTATTTAATATTAACCTTATAATTAATATATATTTTTTAACTTTATAATGAGAATTTAATTATTCGGCTTAGGAATAAACTTGTAAAGTTAAATTTTTAATAAAAAATTTTAATTTGAATAAAGTTCATTAATATTTTCAATGTTTTCGATTTCTTCATCCATTTTTTTATTTTATTTTAAAATAAATATATTATGATTTAATATATAATAAGATATATAAATAAAATATGTTATATTTATTTAAAAATTAATAGCGTTATTTTAAATCACTCAAATTTTATTACTTATTTTTAAATATAAAGTTTATAAAAATAATAATAGAATACATGTATACATAAATTTTTAAAAATATTTATTTTTTTTCATTTAAATTCACAAAATTTATTTAAAATTTCTAAATGTTTTTTGATTTCGTTTATTTTTAAAAAACATGAAATAAATTTATTTTATGTATTTTTTATAAATTTTTTTTTTTAGTATTTCTAATTATATTTTTTAAGAACCTTATATCATTTTTTATTTATATAAATATTATATTAAAAGCATCTTTATAATTTAAACTTTTTATAATCATCATTATAAAATTACTTTTAGTATTTTAAAATTTAGATATTAAATAAAAATAATATATATATATATATATTTATTATATTTTAAGAATTTAGAATAAAGAAAAATATTATTGTTATTATGTAATAAACTGATTAATAAAAAATATAATATTAAAAACATATATTCAGACATATAAATATATATACATATTTTTTTATGAAATTCTTTTTTTTATTTATACAATACAATTGTATTTTTTGGCATATTCAAATAAATAGATATTTTATATTCGAAAATTTATTTTCTTAATAATTTTTTTTTTATCAAAGATACTTAATATTTTTTTTTAGCTCTTTTTTACATTTTGAATCTCGACATTTCCCAAATAATTTTTATATTTAATTTTAAAATATAGCATTTTTTATGCAATTTTTATATTTTCTTTTTTTGCAAATTTTTCTTTCATATTAACTTTTAAAGCATACAGATTGAATTATTAAGATAAAAATAAGTATTAAGATAAGAAATTATTTTTTCATATATATTTTATAATAAATATTTTTAATAAATTATTAAAAAAAGATACTCTAATATACAAAAAACTAAAAATATCAATATATATAAAATTATATATATAATATTAATTTTATATATATATTCTTTTATAATTACTATAAAATAATTTTTCTATTTATTAGTATTAATTTATTTCCTGTATTTATTTTATTAAATTTTTTTCATAATACATAATAATAATTATAATATGAAAATAATAAAATAAAGTGTATAGGTATTAAAATTTTTAAAATTAATTATATATTTAATTTTTATTATAATATAATAAATATGA